GTTGCTGGGGGCCATGTTACATTAATAGGCATGTGAACCACAGCAGTGCCAGGATTCCCCAACTGCTACTACCACATCAGTGCCAGGATTCCCCAACTGCTACCAGACCACATCAGTGCCACGATTCCCCAACTGCTGCTACCACATCAGTGCCAGGATTCTCCAACTGCTACTACCACATCAGTGCCAGGATTCCCCAACTGCTACAACCACATCAGTGCCAGGATTTTCTAACTGCTACTACCACATCAGTGCCACGATTCCCCAACTGCTGCTACCACATCAGTGCAAGGATTCTCCAACTGCTACTACCACATCAGTGCCAGGATTCCCCAACTGTTACAACCGCATCAGTGCCAGGATTCCCCAACTGCTACTACCACATCAGTGCCAGGATTCCCCAACTGCTACTACCACATCAGTGCCAGGATTCCCCAACTGCTACTAGACCACATCAGTGCCAGGATTCCCCAACTGCTCTTAGACCACATCAGTGCCAGGATTCCCCAACTGCTACTACCACATCAGTGCCAGGATTCCCCAACTGCTACTAGACCACATCAGTGCCAGGATTCCCCAACTGCTCTTAGACCACATCAGTGCCAGGATTCCCCAACTGTTACTACCACATCAGTGCCAGGATTCCCCAACTGCTACTACCACATCAGTGCCAGGATTCCCAACTGCTACTACCACATCAGTGCCAGGATTCCCCAACTGCTAGACCACATCAGTGCCAGGATTCCCCAACTACTACTACCACATCAGTGCCAGGATTCCCCAACTGCTCTTAGACCACATCAGTGCCAGGATTCCCCAACTGCTTCTACCACATCAGTGCCAGGATTCCCCAACTGCTACTACCACATCAGTGCCAGGATTCCCCAACTGCTACTACTAGACCACATCAGTGCCAGGATTCCCCAACTGCTACTACCATATCAGTGCCAGGATTCCCCAACTGCTACTACCATATCAGTGCCAGGATTCCCCAACTGCTACTAGACCACATCATTGCCAGGATTCCCCAACTGCTACTACCAGACCACATCAGTGCCAGGATTCCCCAACTGCTCTTAGACCACATCAGTGCCAGGATTCCCCAACTGCTAGACCACATCAGTGCCAGGATTCCCCAACTGCTACTACTAGACCACATCAGTGCCAGGATTCCCCAACTGCTGCTACCACATCAGTGCCAGGATTCCCCAACTGCTACTACCACATCAGTGCCAGGATTCCCCAACTGCTACTAGACCACATCAGTGCCAGGATTCCCCAACTGCTCTTAGACCACATCAGTGCCAGGATTCCCCAACTGTTACTACCACATCAGTGCCAGGATTCCCCAACTGCTACTACCACATCAGTGCCAGGATTCCCAACTGCTACTACCACATCAGTGCCAGGATTCCCCAACTACTACTAGACCACATCAGTGCCAGGATTCCCCAACTGCTCTTAGACCACATCAGTGCCAGGATTCCCCAACTGCTTCTACCACATCAGTGCCAGGATTCCCCAACTGCTACTACCACATCAGTGCCAGGATTCCCCAACTGCTACTACTAGACCACATCAGTGCCAGGATTCCCCAACTGCTACTACTAGACCACATCAGTGCCAGGATTCCCCAACTGCTACTACCATATCAGTGCCAGGATTCCCCAACTGCTACTAGACCACATCAGTGCCAGGATTCCCTAACTGCTACTACCAGACCACATCAGTGCCAGGATTCCCCAACTGCTCTTAGACCACATCAGTGCCAGGATTCCCCAACTGCTAGACCACATCAGTGCCAGGATTCCCCAACTGCTACTACTAGACCACATCAGTGCCAGGATTCCCCAACTGCTGCTACCACATCAGTGCCAGGATTCCCCAACTGCTAGACCACATCAGTGCCAGGATTCCCCAACTGCTACTACCACATCAGTGCCAGGATTCCCCAACTTCTGGTGTTGAAACCATCCTAATTACCTGATACAAAGCGGTCCAACTGGGGACTGATTCCCACACCCTGTGTAACACAACAGCACTTTCAGCCATTTAGGAAAGAAAAAGAACCTGCTTCTTTATTGATACACGGCAAAAGAGGCAGCGCAAACTCTCTGTGCAATTAAACCCCTCAGAAAATCTATCCATCAAACACCACGAATAGAATCACTTCGAGTCAAAAACATCTCTGACTTCCACATAAAAGCAACACCAGTCTCATGAACATGTATACAATTTCTCAACGATTGATTTCTCTAATCACTCTGCAGCAATTCACACGCAAGAATCGCCTATCAATGGCCGCTGTCCTCACATACAGATTACAAAACTTTTGACAGCGGATTTCACCACATCAAGATGGAAACTGGGTGTCCTGCAAGGGTCAACCTATTAATCATCATTAGCGAGATGAAAGACACACTATCGACAATTATAACAAGGTTCAACATTGGATGAAATCATAATTTTTCTAAATTATCAGTCATGGCTGTTTCATCAAGTCATGGTTATCAGCAGGAAGCATATCGTGAACGCCATTACTGCTTGCATCTCCCATTAGCCACGTTTATGTGTTTATCATAAACACGCTGCTTTGTCGGTTCGGGATAATATACAACAGTGGATGGGTTTGGTTTTCACAGGTAATTATTTCTCAAGGCCACAATCTGCATCCGTCACATTGCCTATTATTGGCAACAAATTCACAGCTGAACGAATGGAACCCTCAATTGTCGGGCACTCATATGTACATGATTTGTGTTTCTTTCTTGTCTAATGCCACACTCCACAATATTCCAGCTATGTGATGCGGTCTGTAAATTATCGAGTTTGGACCAGATAAACCAGGGATTGACATCATGATCAACGCAATTGGGATACAATGACATGCATCAACTAAGTCAGTGAGTCTGACCACCCGATCCCGTTAGTTACCTCTTACGACAAGCACAGTCGTCTGTTAGGCAAGCATGGGTTGCTGAAGACCTATTCTCACCCGCATCTTCATCTTGTTTGCAAACTCACCATTGACAAATCCCCCGGTGTACATACATACACCAATGTATATACAATGTTTACAATACTACAGTACTGATACAACAGGTTCTTATTTCATAGTCACTAAAAATGTACCATGTGCAAAGTAGAAATTGTTGCTAAAATTCACAAATCTTTTGAAGTACCTTACTAAATATTTAGAGGCATTTTGCTTCTTACTACACAACCATTAATTTCAAGTCGTGACAAGAGCCATGCCCTGACTCACAAAGCAGTCTTAGTGTAAAGATGATCTTAACCCCATTCTTTAACATAGCCATACAGTAGTTGTAGAACTAACACTGCTTTGTGGACATGTGATTGCAACACATATTCTTTAACATAGACGCATGATGGTGGTACAGCGTGGATCCCTCTGTGGAAAGGTCCGAAAGTCAGAAAAGACTATCAACTTTCGGTATAAGCAGTGACAGAAATTGGCACTCGTCCTGTAGCCCTTACCAAACTGCCCATTAGTTAAGGTATCATAAGGACCAGTAGAAATTAGTCATTTTAAAGGGTTTTGCGAGGCATTATTATCAGGACTGGTGGACTAAAACTGTTAGTTTCTATCACTGATCAGTTGTCAGCCAACAGTCGAATATCTTGCCTGGCATGAAATGGTTCAGAGGCTTATTGAAACACCAACCAACCCTAGTTGAGTCTACTTTTCGTGACATGAACAACAGACCCATGGTGGACACCCAACTCAATTATGAGGCTGTGTTGACTTAGATCGTTATCATATCTTGATTATCGATAGTCAACTGCAAGCAAATACTCCTAATTTCCCATGAGCATATTCACAAAGAAACCTAAGTTTAGATACATGCAAACAACATTATTTTTTCGTGTTCATAGCATTATCATTCTGTTATCGAAAATATCTTTGTTATTACTCAGTTACTTGCAAAAACAAGATGCAAATATGTAAACATGAGAAAATTCTTTTTTAATCAAGTGCTATCAGACTTGAAAGTAGGCCATCAGTATGTCAAACACAAAGTGCGTATCGGAACCTACAAACATACCGCAATATAAACTTTAAACCATGTTTGATAATCTTGTTCAATTTTGCATATGGCACAAGTCGTATTTATTCAACAAATAGGCCGTAAATATCTGTACCCATTTTTAAATCTTCGGCACCAAGTAAGTACGAGAAATAACACACAGAAGTCAGAAACCATCCTCTGTGACTTTGACGTGTTTCGTCTCTTACCGGACATGTATCATGGATATACCAGTACAGTCTTGCAGTGTCCGATATTCCTGCTTGCCTGCCTGCCCATGGCTGGTCATTTTTCTGTCAGGCTGCAAGAAACTTCCCCCGCCTGTCCAACTGTCAGGCAGATAATTTTAAGACTACTAATGTATTCATTTTTTACCTCGTACATTCTCTGGTAATTGTTTGCATTATTTAAACCAAATCATGACGCGATTTGTCTCTTATTTTTTGTGATTTTTTAATATTTATAATGCCTGAATGCGGGCAGGTAACTTTGATTTGTTTGTTTGTTGTTTAACGCCGCACTCATCAATATTCCAGCTATATGATAGCAGTCTGTAAATAATCGAGACTGGACCAGACAATCTAGTGATTAACGAAATGGGGATCGATGACATGCATCAACCAACTCAGCGAGCCAGACCACCCAATCCCGTTAGTTGCCTTTTACGGCAAGCATTGGTTGCTGAAGACCTATTCTACCCTGGATCTTCATGGGTCAGGTTACTTTGAAGATGGGCAGACAACACTTATGGGTCACTTGCCTGACTGTCTTTTGGGTTTTAAAATTATTTCCAACACTGCAGTCATGTCAGTACTTACCTGCAACAGTTTTAATGGAATAACATGAAAGGGACAAAGGAATGTCAACATGTTGATCATCCAGTCAACAGTCAAGGCATTCAACCAATAATGACTGGTCAACGGGGCGTGAAAACTTGCCAACATACATTACCTTTATTTCCCTTGACTAGCTCGATCTCCACCACATTTTCAATGTTCGCCTTCAGCCTCTTCACCAGCTGTACAGAAAACAAACAAATACTGGAGAAGCATTCCATGTGAGTGAGTGAGTGAGTTGGGTTTACGCCACTTTTAACAGTATTCCAGTTATATCACGGCGTGTCAGTTTAATGTGGGAGGAAAGCCCAAAGTGATGAGAGTCTCAGACGTTTACCACTTCAGTGAAACCCACGAGCATGGGTATGATGCCGACAAACCTAGAAACATAATCAGGGCGAACCGTGATTCGAACCCACGTCGCTATATAAGTGCAATAATCTTGGACTCGACGTTAAACCCAATTTCACCTCACCTCGTGATTCGAACCCACAATCATAGGTTTCTGGCGTGCCCAAGGGATGCAACTCTGCACAGCGAATCACGTCGCCTTAGACGACTGGCCCCCGAGTGAGTGAGTGAGTGAGTGAGTGAGTGAGATTGGTTTAGCACCGCTTTGAACAGTATTCCAGTTATATCACGGCGTGTCAGCCTAATGGGGGAGTAAAGGCCGAAGTGATGCAGGTCTCAGACGTTGACCACTTTGGTGAAACCCAACAAGCACAGGCATGGTGCTGACAAATCTGAGAAATCTGATTGGGTGAAGCAGGCAATGATGTACAATTAAGCATTAAAGCCCCTTCCCCTTGATTGGTTCTGTTATCAGTGAAACACAAGCCATCTCTACAAAGCCAGAGTGAGTGAATGTGGTTTTATGCCACTTTTAGCAATATTCCAGCAATATCACAGCGGTGGACACCAGAAATGGGCTTCACACATTGTACTCTTGAGGGGAATTGAATCCCTGTGTTTGGCGACTGATTCAACTACAAGGTTATCCCGCCACCCCTACAAAGCCAGAACATCAGTTATCCAAATACAGTGTTCCCTAGCTATTGCACCCTTCAGTATAGCCCTAACTCTGTTATAGCACACGCTGTAACGCATGGTTCCTAAAATTCCTCAACATTTTTAATAACCTCAAGTTTTACACTGACACTATACTTTTTGCCCATCACAAAAAACATTACCAGCTGATAACTGCGACACCAGAAATACCAATCAACAAATCTGAACTGAAGTCAGCAATTTAATCCTATTATTACACTATCTGGTCATTAAAAAAGTGTTCATTGTATATCTTGACTTTTGTAACATATTTCATGAATTTTATTCAAATTTTATTCAATATTGTTTACATTATTTTCCGTGAAATCATGTGTAAAGTGATCGGCAGATCGCATAACTCACCATTATTTACAGCAACCACTGTCAGATTACCGCTATCGATGCCTTGAAACAAACTTTAGTTGACAGAGAATGGATACCTTTATAATAAATGCCATACTTTGACTTGTTACACGTCATATTTATTCTAATTTGCCAGCTATATGCAAGTGCGTGAGCCTTGACAGTGACTAGTCAAATTGTTCCATACGTAAAATAACATCCGGCAATTGCGATCAGCTGTACCAAAGTGCTACACTTATGGTTATTATTATTTTTTGCAACTAAAATAACACAATAGTTTAAGATACAAGTATTTCGATCATTGCATCAAAATTCTTTAAAATTATATCATTGGGTAACTTGGTGTTTCGGGCCCAGTTTACGAGACAATACACACGGGAATCTTAACTCTTTCAACACCAGTCAACCAGAAGTGTTTACTGCTGGGACACCGAGTTCCCAGGGACTCTTGTGTGATAGATGAAGCCAACATTTATCAAAGAAAATACCTGCTTGTAAAATATATTTGCTACTACATGTTACACACCATTTGAAAGGTCTGATCCTATGGTTTATAAATATGAAAGTTATATTTTTCAAATTATTTAAAATAATGCATTTACAACTTAATTAAATTCGTTGTAAATAAAAAATGTACGCTAACACGTTGTTAACATCCAGATTAAGGACCAAGGAAGCGAAAACTTGACGATTTTCGGCAAATATATGATTTCATAATATCCACGTACCTATTTCTGTTTTATTTTCATTGTTTACGTAATTGGAAAATCATTTTAAAAAGAATTATAAATAGTTTCTGTCATCACCCATTTCCCGATAACAGCGACTGTCCGCTCAGTAAAATGAAGAAATACCCCTGTTTTCGAGGTTTCGTATGAATAACACGTTCGTCGAAGAATGGCATATGACACATCGCTGGAAAGCTTATTCCTTCATCTACACGCTCGTAACATCGACTGGTTTTTTTTCGTAGTTATAACAAGCGATTTCATTGGATTAAAATTGGTTTCTAATGACGCTTTCTTGCTGAAATCTGCTACAAGTTTCGTGATTGGTCAATTTTGAGCACGTGACCTAAGGCAGCCAATCAAATTACAGCTGTGATACCAAGCTCGTGTTCGATAAATTACAGAAGTTTGCGAAAGAATTTTGTTAAATCGTGTTATTCTGAACGTTTTGAGCGGGAAATCACGATATATATTAAAAATATGGAACTTCGTGAATGTATCGTGCTAGGTTACAAGCTGTGACAAAGATTTTTCATGCATATATTTTTGCATGAAACATCGTGTCCGAGCCGAGAATTCAAGGCGACGAAAGCCGAGATGTCATTTGACTTACATTACACGCGATCGCACGAAAAGATGGAAATAATAACTTAGATGTAAGTTTGATTACTTTTAGATATATTTTTGTTGATTTTATTTATTACTTTGTATAATATATTTAAAGATTTGTTTAAAACGTCTTTATTTTCCTCTTTGACGTGTTCGATGTGGACCCGTTGTCGAAATGTGTGTCCGAGAATTTTATTTTCAATAACATCGCGAGAAATAGTGAATAATTTTTTAATTAAACGATAAAAAATGTTAAATTGAAATGGAATATGTATTTCAGACATTGTGAAATGTGATAGATTTAATAAATGAATGACATTACAGGTAGGTCCATAAAAATTAATACTATTTTGACGTGACTACGGCTTGGCCGGATAACCGGCCTGCGGTGTCTGGGGACTCGATGCTTCTTGGCCGGATAACCGGCCTACGGTGTTGAAAGAGTTAATCTCTGCATCTAAAACAATGCCTAGCAGAACAGAAAATACAACTTAAATGGTAAACCATCATGACAACTGACACTTAATCTCAATGTTTTACTGACCAAGTTTGTTATACCTGTTCGTTCACCTGAATTTGTTCAAAGGATACTGTGTATTTTTTCTGAACATAAAACACGATAAGTGTCTTTTTACACTGTGAATCACACATCAAAATCTACGATATTCTAATCTTTTTTCAAACTCTGAAACCTAGTTTGTGTTAGGTAGGCAGAGCAAGCATGTGCTGTTGTGTTGTTCATCTGCCCCCAAAGACTCCACCTCAGCTAAACCGCTGATCGTCTATAAATCACACATCAAAATCTACTATTTTCTAATCTTTTTAAAAACTCTGAAGCGCACAGCGTTGATTGTGTTAGGTAGGCAGAGCAAGAGTGTACTGTTGTGTTGGTCATCTGCCCCTACGACTCCACCTCAGCTAAACCGTTGATCGTCTATTAATCTCATCAATTATTTGGACCCCCCATGGTAGTATTGTAGCGAAGGATCACCGCAGCAAGAACTGGGAAATGTTTATATAAAACTTATTTCTGACATTTGCTGCATACTTTGGCACGAATGTCAGTCTCTCAGAAGTTTAAATAAATCCCGGCCCGAACAGGACTGTCTTCATTAACAAGGTTTAATTCGAATTAATTATTTGGACATTTTGTTCATGTTACATCCAAATGTCTTTGGTAGGCGTTTTCAGAAACACCTGCTTGAGTTCCCACTCACCAGCACGACTCGGGATCCGGCTTGCTTCAGGGCATCCACTGCTTCGGCGTGGGTGCAGTTGGAGACGTCAACATCGCTCACTTTCACGATGATGTCGTTGATCCTGAAAGAAACAAAACCCGGTGAAACATGGCCAGCATACAAACATCTAAATGCATAACCATGTCTTTTGTTCTTGAATCTAAAACCAATCAACTGTCTTGTGCTGTATAAATAATATCTATTGATTTGTGGAAGGGATATATTTTCTCTGGATGTTTGGAAAGAGTAAACTATTCAAACTTTGTAACATATATCTGACGTATTCCTGACCAGATTTGTTAAGTAACTAGTTTCCTTCAAACCACCTCTGTAGACAAACACTACTTCAACGGTTGATACTTTGCAAGTAAAAAGATAAATCGTCACAGAAAATCTATATTCCAAAGTTTGAAGCAACTCCTGAGAGACTATGTATGAAACATAGAATCAGTGCTGGAAATGAGAGTGAGTGTGAGTGTGTATGGTTTTACACCGCTTTTAGCAACATTCCAGCAATATCACAGCAGGGGACACCACAAATGGGCTTCACACATTGTACCCATGTCGGGAATCGAACCCGGGTCTTCGGCACGACGAGCAAACGCTTTAACCACTAGGCTACCCAACCGCCCCCTGGAAATAAGAGGGGGGTCCTGGTGGATAGGTCCAATAGTATTTGGATCTCAATCTCACTTTTTACATTTTAGCTATGACAAGGACCCCTAGACTTTCATGCTTATATTCCAACAGTGTAGAATCCACATCAGAGCTCTTGTTAATGATTCAGTCACAAGAGAAAGTGATGCATGAGTCACCACTGCAGGAAACGCTGGAGAATAACCAGTCTTGACTTTCTCTTGGGTGTAAAAGGCAAAATAGTGGTTATTGTATAAGAAAGGATCACTGAAAATCAGAGACGACACCAGGTGTTTGCAAAAGGGTAAGCAAGTCCCGCCCCACCGGTAGCACCCACCACGCCCACAATCTGCACAAAGGAAGTGCTTGTTGCCCGACCCCACACAGCAGTACCATTGCCATGTGACAGCCGCATGTAAACAAACCAGACAATCAAGTGATGGACCTGAAATCCAGTTACATGATTGCACATTTACTGATTTGATTGAAGCTAAAAACTATATATTAATTTCCAATTATGTCTAGTGTTTACAAGTGCAGAGATTCAGCAGCTCATAACTATGAATAAACGTTCAAGATGGGTGAGTATGGTTTTACGCCGCTTTTAGCACTATTCCAGCAATATCACGGCGGGGGACACCAGAAATGGGCTTCACACATTGTACCCATGTGACGAGCGAACGCTTTAACCACAAGGCTACCCGACAGTCCCAAACGTTGAAGAAACATGTTTTTTTCGCAACACATTTGGGGTCAGTTTTATGAAGACTCTGTCCAAAAAATTGTTAAATTTAGATTAAGGCAGCTGTTCCCACGAGTTCATAAGTGAGAATCTCAAACATTGTATTCGTATCAAACATTCAATTTCAGGCTGAATCCAACATTGTATTCATATATATACTGAGCCCAACAATGTATTCATATATATACTGAATTTAACATTTTATTCATAAATGTAGTGAATCCAACATTGTATTCTATTACACATAAATTTTCACACTGAATCCAACATTGTATTTGTATCACACATTTATTTTCACACTGAATCCAACATTGTATTCATATCACACATTCATTTTCATAATGAATACAACATTGTATTTGTATCACACAAATTTTCAAACTGAATCCAACATTGTATTCTTATCACACATTCACTTACAGACTGAATCCAACATTGTATTCGTATCACACATTCATTTTCAGACTGAATCCAATATTGTATTCATATCACACATTTATTTCCATACTCAATACATTTCACCAATGCCTCATCTTCGCGTACACACTCGGTACAGATTTATCAACTTCTATTCAGTACATTCAACACTGTACTTCTACAATTCAATCCTTAGTTCCAACAAAGTCATGAAAATCTGACAAAACTGATATCCAAGTACGCTGGAAACTATACTATCTGTGCCAAACTCACTAACCATTTTCAATAGCTTTCATTGGACTTCTATAGAAACCTCTAACACTTGTTTGAACATCAATAATCACAAAGTGACGTAAATTCCATGATATTTGTATTGGTGGGGAAGCGCTTAAGAAAACAAATGAATTCCCTTTTCACCAAAGTTCCGACTTTTTCAATATTTTATACCAATCAATCTTGTTTATAACTGGCATGTTATGATAATTTGATACTCTTAAAAGCTTGGGTTGGCACCTACCATCGTTACTTGTGAAATTAACATTTTTCTATACAGAGCTGAAGGCATTACCCTTCATTAAGAGATAGCATTAGCACATAATCTCGACAAATAACACATGCTCCATGAATATAGATGGATGGCAATTACGTTTTTCTCTATCCCAAAATCCAGAATCATATTGTATTTTCAACCAAGCGCTTTTGACAGAAAGTAGGTCGAGACAGTAAATCAGCTCCAAACACAGACATGCACACATGGCAGTGTTGTTGAGAATTACTTTTTGAACTTTTTGCATAAACAGTCTTGTTAATCCGACACTCGTTTATTCGACAATCGGCTTTATCCGACACAAGTGATGGGCACCAATTAAATCAGTGCTATTTAGACCCCTTTATCCGACAGTCTCGCACTACGACACACCTAATTTGCAACAAATTGCAGAAACGAATTGCATTAGTTTCAAAATCGCGACTTCCATTCCAGACTACGCTTTCATACAGCCCGTAACAGAAGTTCTGTGTTTAACTTTAGAGGTTGCATGATGAGAAAACATATTCAACAATCAATGTAACATAACAAAATGAATATTTCATTTTTTTATTTTTTATTACGTTTTTGTATCGTTATCTATCGTGTAGTTGTCCGATTTTCGATAACGAACGTTGATACAACTTAATTTCGTTTATCCGACATACTCCTTAATCCGACATGATCATATGCAACCAACCATGTCGGGTAAACGGGACTTGACTGTATGCAGCTTCAGTCATACAATGTCCCACATCCATGAATTATTCACATCCATGCATATACAGATGGTTATATTCCCGATGGTGCGAAATGTCAGTCTGCAACATTTCTGAGTTGACCTACATTTACACTGGTATTTCTGGGATAAATGAAACATTAGGTCAAAAGCTTGAGTTTCAACCTCACAATAGTCTTTATCCAAAAAAAGTTTATCTGAGTGAATATTGTATTTAAAAAGATTTCTCAAACTAAACATACTTTATCAAAACATTTATGCAAATAAATATGTTTTCAAAAGGTTTATGCAAAAACATATTCCTTATGTTAAGTGTTTTTTGTTAATGAATATATTGTACTTAGCTAAGTCAATACTTTATCCAAAACATTTCTCTGAGAGCTGTCTTGAAACAATAATCATGTAGTCATGTTCTAAACAGGGTTATCTAGAAATTATAATATAGTGAGTGAGTGAGTGAGTGAGTGAGTGAGTATTGTTTTACATCACTTCTAGCAACATTGAAGCAATATCCAACGAGGGGAATGAAACCCTGGTCTTCAGCGTGACTAGCTAACGCTTTAACCACAAGGCTAGCCAACTGAGGCTATGTCTGAAAGAGGGCTATTTTGATGGGCTCATAAATTAATATCTTATCATAATTTCCCCTTATTAATTAATATTCACAAAGAATATATCCAAAATATCCCCATACCACTAATTAATGTTCACAACAAACAGTATATCTAATATATTTCCCACTATTAAAAATTCAAAAATAATATATCCAATATATGTCCCCACCACTAATTAATGTTTAAAACAAAGAATATATCCCAAATATCTCCCCACTATTAATAAAATTTTAAAACAAAAAATATATTCAAAATATTTCAAATTCACTAATTAATGTTTACAAAGAATACATTCAATAAACGTCCCCACTATTGATGAATGTTTACAACAAAGAATATATCCAAATATTTCCTGACTATTAATTAATATTCACAAAGAATGCGTCCAATATATCTCACCACCACATTTAAATTAACATTCACAAACAAAGAATAAATCCAATATATCTCTCCACCACTAATTAATGTTTACAACAAAGAATATATCCAATATATTTCCTCACTATTAATTAACATTCACAAAGAATATATCCAATATATCTCCCAACCACTAATAAATGTTTACAACAAAGAATATATCCAATATATCTCCCCACCACAAATTAACATTCACAAAGAATATATCCAATATATCTCCTCACTATTAATTAACATTCACAAAGAATATATCCAATATATCTCCCAACCACTAATAAATGTTTACAACAAAGAATATATCCAATACATCTCCCCACCACTAATTAATGTTCACAAAGAATATATCCAATATATCTCCTCACCATTTATTAATGTTTACAACAAAGAATATATCCAATATATCTCCCCCACCACTAATTAACATTCACAAAGAATATATCCAATATATTTCCCCTCTATTAATTAACATTCACAAAGAGTATATCCAATATATCTCCTCACCATTAATTAATGTTTATAACAAAGAATATATCCAATATATTTCCCCACTATTAATTAACATTCACAAAGAGTATATCCAATTATCTCCCCACCACTAATTAATATTCACAAAGAATATATCCAATATATTTCCCCACCACTAATTAACATTCACAAAGAATATATCCAATATATTTCCCCACTATTAATTAATATTCACAAAGAATATATCCAATATATCTCCCCACCACTAATTAACATTCACAAAGAATACATCCAATATATCTCCTCACCATTAATTAATGTTTACAACAAAGTATATACCCAATATATCTCTCCCACCACTAATTAACATTCACAAAGAATATATCCAATATATTTCCCCACTATTAATTAACATTCACAAAGAGTACATCCAATATATCTCCTCACCACTAATCAACGTTTAAAACAAAGAATATACCCAATATATTTCCCCACTATTAATTAACATTCACAAACAGTATATCCA